ATCCCAATGCAACAATTAACTTTTTTCWAGCGGAAGTAGACAACAATTTCCACGAGTTGATTTCTGAAAGCTCATAAAGAAGAATTAATTATGGTTTTCGAAATAAATGATAACAATGATAACTAAAGCTTAAAATTTAAAATAAAATTGTTCATMATCTCTGGAATATAGTATTTCTATGGAATTGTAGAAAATCACTTTTGCTAACAAACATTTTAATCCCAACACGGTTAAAATTATCTAAGTTAAAGCATTGCATTGRTKACATTTTTTCCATTATRGTATTTCGYTGTGTAATTAATCGTATTTATTTACAAGCTTTTCATGTTGTACTTCATGTCAATGATTCCTAAACAACACCYATCCACTTGTTCGTAACCACCAGAGGGTCTCTGCACAGCAGGCAAAAAATAGCGTACCGWGTTTATCACACCAAACAGATCAAATCAGTGATGTTGGCAATGCGAACAGCTTAATCATGTGTCAGTGTCAGTGAAGAGCTGTCATTGACAGCAAATCGGGTCATCTCTTCGGCGATAGCCATATTTGTAGCTACGAATTGTTTTAATAGCAATGAACTGCGGATAAATTGTAGTTGAAGTGTGCTATAAACAAATTGGCCATAAGACTTTAACCAAAAATTTTGTCTGATTGTATGAAATAATGTTATTTTGACATTGAAATGCACCGCAAGAGCGCAAGCTCATGCAATCTAACTAGTAGTGCATGGAGTGCTTGTATACCGTTAGTTGCAGGGTCACATGCATTAAAGTCATAATTTTTCATGTATTGCTATACCATTCTCTGCTTTCTTCGAACATAAAGTCACAACTGATAGCATTTGGCTTATATTCACCAGAGCGAATGTAATTCATAGCGAAACAAATTTGAAGGTCATAGCTGAAATATTCGCTCTAAAATTTTGTACTTATTTGTCACTTAAATTAATTTTCATTTTCCGCATTAACAATTTAAGTCTGAAGTGTTATCTTTAATTTGCAATGATGATGAGCAAAAATTGATGAGCGCAATTAATTAGTGTGAACTTAACTTTAATTTGTATGGARTAAAATATAACATGGTAATTGAAAGTGAAGGAAACATGATTATAGCTGATTAATTTTATGCTGGAATAATCCATTGAAATCCAAAGGCATCTTAGAGAAATGAAAATTAGTAGATTTCTTTAAAGAATTTCCCTTAAGGATTAAGCAAAATTACTATTACTACTGAGATATATTTCGACGAAAGGGCTTTCAGTGACATACGACAATCCCAAAAAAAAAAGAACTATTATAAGGTAATACTTGAAAAACAAAGATCTTGCCTTTAAGGATAGGYAAGTCGGTTACCATGACTCACTCGCTTGAAATATGGGGAAGAAATTGTTGGTTGCGGTATTACTCAACGGTMAMTTTTCAAGTAAAACATATATCTTCRTCAAGACAAGTAAGAAAATGTTAAACTAAAATCCCAACACGGCGAAGAGGTTTTGAAGAGTAGATTATGTCGTACTAGCCGGCTGTCACGCTACACCTAGACCCATTGATCGTTGGTAATATAAGGTAGAGTTTTAGTTAAATAAAATATATAGTATATTTATATCTAATTTTTTTATCTTATCTGGTTATTTGAACTAAGAAACTCCTGGGTATCTAAAACGAATTATAAATTAGACTAGCAGAAACATATATTGTGTTTTAGCGTCTCTCATACCTAGTTCCCAGCACTTTCCGTATGTATCATAAATAAAGATTTATACCCATCCGGCTCACATRATATAYGTATTTTCTGTGTTCTGTCATTAGACCAATAAATATAATCCTCCGGCCCGCGACCGTGTGGGTAGAAAGCATGCCGGTTTTGCTTTGCGCATCATCTTGGTGACTCTACAAGCATTCAATCTGTCTGTCTGGCCTTTCGAGAATTTCATTGTGTATCCTTTTAGTGACCTCCGTATATCCTGTATTGATTAGGTAGCCTGACGTATGCGACTTTTGACAACCATACCAGCTACTTCGTTTCTCGGAATTTCTTTGTGACCTGGAAGTCAGTAAACATATTTATATGCCACTACTACAGTTACTGCCWTAATGCTTCTAATCGCATTCTCTGACGTAATGCAATGTGATTTTATTGCCTGGCTGTCGACATTTATATTGATCATCTTCAACCAGTATTCTGGCTGCTTGAAAAGTCGCCTGAGATTCAGTTCCGAGAAATAGATTCCGGCTCCTTTTTCTTTAACCATTTTAGCTTTTTGTATCATCTTTTATTTAAATCTTCTCTCTTTAATAAAGTGTGAGAATATTTGGTTCATTTTATCCACCAGCCCCTTGCTTTCTGAGATCTATTGGTGTTAGTTTGTCTAATCTTTCTAGCCCAGCCGTAGGAGTGGTTCTTAGCGCTCACGTTATTAAGAGAACAGCAAAGATATTTTCGGAGCCATATCCATAAGTCAAAATTATCTTACATTTAAATTATTATTTATAAAATTACCATTCCAAATGGGCCAAGAATAGAACAAAATATAAATAAGATGAGGTGCCCTCTCCTCGGTCATATGTATCCCCAAAGTTCCAGGACTCTGACGAATTCCAGGACTTGCTGAATGCTATTGAGGTTATGTGGATTGTAGTGAAATAGAAACTAATGTGAAGTCTGGAATCAGTTGTTCGGGTGTTTCCAGTTCCTTGTTCAAAACCGGCTGTTTGCGCAAGAAGTTATACACATGTTGGACGGGTGTTTCCTAAGTCAGCAGTATCCAGTATAGAACGCGACAAGGAGACGGTATATGTCTCGAAATCATGTCTATGAACCTTGTAAGGTTGTAATATCCCAGTATCTTTGTCTACGCACTCTCTTCACCGTGCGAAGCAGCTCTTTTACTGTGTTGGACCCCACCGCAAAACATGGCTGTGACTCCCTCCGTAGCAAAACGGGCGAATTCGTCGACCAGCTCTTTGTCAGCTATACCTTTATGTCCCGGCACACAGATCAGGTGTACACTCTTCCATTAGCAGCGATTTAATCTCATAGGCTGAGATCGCTTTTGGTGTCACTTGGCTATTGCTGAGTATAGCTTTACTCTAGCACACTGACTTATAGCAAAACCTTCTGCTTGAAAAGGGCTCGGAAAATATTCTATGAATATGGAAAGCTAGAATTGATTAATAATAAATAAGATGATAATAATAATTCCACGTAATGCCTGCTCCAATGCCCTCCATGGTCTTCGATACATCAGTAGTGAGTCAAGTGTCGTATCAATCTTGCTCAGCTTTGCTCCAAAAGACCTTTTGACTTATTGAAAATCGACGCCCAAAACACCACTCCATTTGTAGCGATAGGCCTCGTGATCATATTATACAACTTCGTGCTGATACTTGCCTTAAATCCTCAGTAATCACTAACCAGGCATATGCACAACATGAGTGCTTTTGTAGCTTTAGACAGTATTATTTAAAGATAGGTTTTTAACCGTGTAATGTGAGTAAATCGGCCAAAGTTACTATATTGACAAAATGTAATAAAAATAACCCATTGTAACTCACAATAAACGCCACTACTCGTGGTTAAAAAATATAAGAAGAGTTTTTAAAATTGTATTTTAGCTCCAGCTATAAGCGTTAATGGTTTTGACTTCTGGCTTATAATTACAAATTTGTTATTAATCACAGATTCATAAAATTATTAACGTTACGCAATATCTGAAAGACTCGAATCAAGTTTAAGGTGCTAAAATCTTAAGTATGCGAAAGAGACCGCCTTCGAGTCCAATTCATCTCCGACAAGTCATTCCTCTAAATCAGCAGATTATGTCACAGACTGATATGCTCAATTTATAATTTTTGATATGTTTGCGCAGCAACACCGGCAACAAAACAAAAAATACAAAACGTAAATTGAATGCCGTTGATTTACACCTCAGTAGAGCACAGCGCGTCTGCGGCCGTTCATCGAAGTCAACGAAAACCCATTGGACGGCTTGCACTTGGCATCAATCTCCATATCAAAGTATGCTGATCGTTCCGCCTCATTTACGAAACCAACGCCCCTCCGCTCATTATAAAGTACTTGAATGTAAAAGGTTTGCACAGCGCCGGACACCCACTGGGCAGACGAGTTGTACGCCTTGGGCGCCCTACGGTGAAGCAACGCTTGAATTTAGGCGCTTGAGCAGTGTTGATTGCGACGATACTCACGAAAGCGCGCGTAAGCATGCAAAGTCGAAAATAATCACAGTCAGTACAATTAAATTCGATACAGTCGCGACCAGTGTATGGCGGGCGGTTGCATAAACGAACTTGGCAAGAGAAGATTGGCTTTTCAAGGCGATAATTGCATATGTGCTCCGGGGAAGAGGTGCTCCTCAAAGTACCCAAGTTGGGAAAATTAATGAACTCAGCTCTTTGTCATTTCGCTCAGCGCAACGCATCCAATGCGCCAGCGCTCGTTGGTTTGGCAATTGGACTTCCGGCGGCAGCGAGTTGCAGCGGTAGCCTTAATTTGTTTACATTACATTACCGCCAACTTTCAAACATAAGTACTTATGTAGTTATACGGTAAATTATCACAAACATTCACGCAAACTGTTGGCGCTTTGCTAAAGTCTTCAGCAGCGCTTGTTAACTGAGCTTTTTCGCGCGCTGACTCTCCGCAGCAACTGCCAAGCGACATCTGCATTTCTTATACTTCTTCTTCTTTTTTACTCTGTTTCAATATTACTTCTTGCTCTGCAATTTTTGGTGCTCATTTTAGGTATTTTGCATCGCACTCTTGATCTGCGCGCTTTGAGCGCCATCTCTAATTTCATCTCCCGCTGCAATGGCCAAACTATGTGACGCGCTTAGCGTTTTGGCCAACATTTGTACTTTGCATATATTGTTGTTGTTGTTTTAGCGTATCTTAGGTGTCGAAGAGGTTGCTGTTGTTTAACTTTTTGTCCGTGATATAAAAGATTGGCGTTCAACTGATTAGCATTTAGTTGATTTCTGCTTGTCAATTGGTCCAGTGGTCGGTTGTGTTGAAAATTGTGACGCGTACGTTTTAAACGAAAAATTTATTTGTGCTGTGGAAAAAATGCGCGCTTTTATAGTAAGTTCAAAAAAAWATATATATATTTAAAATGTGATAAAGAAGAGTTTGAGTTAATGTCTGAATTAAATTATCGATTCAATTGTGGAGTATAAACTGAGAAATTTAAAAAAAAAAAAAAAAAAATTATGCTGTTTTTGAAATAGTGAGATTTAAAACGCAATGCGAAAAGGACTACAAAGTGGAAAATTTACATTCACTAAAAACAAGTGAAGATATTAATTTTGTCAAAAACCTTTTTAGAAACGAATTTGATGGGGTCAAAGTATAAAAAAAAAAATA